CCGCGGCCGCGGCGCCGCTCGCCCTGGGCTACTCCGAGCGGCGTGCTTTGTGCCACCGGGGCAGTCCCTGGTCCCTGCGGGCCGTCACCCGTGTTTTGGGGCGGAGTGGGGCAGCACTGCCTGCTTGAGTCGCGTTTCCAGCGTTGTGAGGTTTGTAGGCTGCAAGGGAAGTAGCGAAACGCAGATCCTCGCCAGCTCCTTTCTCACGAGCTCTTGATTGCTTTTCCCAGCTCTTTTTGTGGTAGCGTAGAAACAGATGCTTAGGGGTGTCTACGGGCAGGTTACGTACGAAAGCGAAGTCTTTATCCTGAATGCACAACTATATATGAGTGTGTGTATGCTTAGGGTGAGGAGGAATGATTGATTATCGTTAAGTTTAGAGTTGATTTCAAAGTACGCACGGCTGTTTTTTTGTGGAGATAGTACTCTTTGAAGTTATAACTAGTCTTTGGGTCTTCTGCAGTCTAGTAAAATCAGTTGAGTTAAAAAAGTTGTAAGCAGTATATGTGTTCTGTTAATGTTTTCAAAATAGCCACCTGGTAAAAGATAAAGTAGCCAACAACCTAGTGTAAATTTCTGGCTATGGTAATGTTTTTCTCTTTCCCAATGTATTCTTTACTATGACCGACACTTTCTATAGTGTATCCATTAAAAAACCCTCTAATAAGGATACACTGCAAGTTGGAGAACTTCTATTTCTTGTCCCCCCATTTATTGTCACATTTTATATATGATTGCTTTAAAATTTCAGAGGAAGTCACAACTAGGCACAATCCCAGCAATTATTTGATTGCATATACGTTCTTTATTCACTAAAAAAGTTTTTAATGCAAATTGTGTTTTGAATGTTGTTTTCTCATACATGTTATTTGGATGCTGTTTCTTATGAAATAACAAAATCCCATTCCCCCTTCAGCTCTTTCTATTAAACTGTGTTAGTGTGGATCTTGCAAATACAGTAGGGCTTGTTTAAAAACACACATTAGAACTAGATATTTTTTTTTCCTGGTTGAAAGTATTAATACATCAGTACTGAGCTGCATAATGTTGTCCACAGTCCTTTGAATGTGTCATGTCTAGGATGAACGTCAGATTTTTTTTTTCCTTAAAATTGTTTGTTTATTTATTTTGAATTATTTGTGGAACATAGTTGTTTCTCTGTCTCTTTACTGCTGTTTACTTGAAAAGCAGATTATGCTGTGGTGTTAGTAGGAACAGTTACCCTTCATTTAATCAGGTGGATTGATAGGTGAATTGCTCAAAGCTGGGTTCAGTTTCTGTCTCTGATTAGGATTGCTTTCTATCTGCAGAACAGTTTATTGCTCTCGTAGCAAATGTAAAACAGCTGGATATGCTCCTGGATGAAACCATGATTAGTTAAGATTCCTAAAGCCTTTGACTACATTAGATTACTGATTTAACTTCTGTATTTGGAGATGATATGCTGTGGTCTGTGTCTTAAAATTGGTTTAATAATTACATTTAAACTCAGTGAATTCTTTGAGGAACTAATGCAACAAAACTACTTTTCTTCAAAATTGTTATCTATTTTGAAGAAAACATTTTTCTTTTATGTCATGTCAGAAATTTGTTCTTTGTCATATTCTTGCAGATATCTGTTAACTTCCTGTATTCACTGGAATTAGAATTGTTCATATTGGTGATGTTTTTAGCAGAGTGAGCTCTTTGGAAGCTTTGTTACAGAATTATGGAAAAAGTGGCTCTTCTGCTCTTGTAAGGTCTACTTGCAGACCAGTGTCTAAATGGACTTTCTAGGATTTAAGTAGGAGTTAGATTGATGAGAGTACTGTGGTATTAAGAGCAGAGTTTTACTGCAAGTCTAATTCTGTTTACAAGTTGGTGATAGAATTCCTATCAAATATGTTAGTTTAATCTTCCATAGCAAGCAGGAATATTTGATACTCTGGAATTCTTTATGGTGGTATAAATTGTTGTACTTGTCAAACCTACCTGAGATTCTTAAAAAATATATGTACCAAATCTTCATCGTTTATTTTGAAAATGGATTTTTTTTTTTCCCCTAAGAAATATACTTGCTTTGTTTTATCCAGTAACACTGATTTTGAGAAATGGACAACAGCATTTGTCAAGTTTATGAAGACAAAATCCAGTCGCTGGAAGAAGAAATTAAACTGTTGACTGAAAAGTATGAAGATTACCAACAGGAATCTACCTTTTATTCTGATGAGGAGATACTGATGTCAAAGTACGCCTTTTTTTCACATGTTGGATTAATAGCGTTTCTATGTAAAAATTGTTTAGGATAAGCTTTTACCTCTATGTTAGGGCTTCCCTTACATTATTTTTACGTCTTGATCTTGCTTAGGACATGGGCTATATATGGTAAAAGATTACAAATAATAAATAGTTGATCTCTTTTTACTGCCTTCTGTAGATAGTTTCTGTTTTTAGGGTTTTATTTTGTTCACTTTTTTAAAAAAGGCAGTCATACTGCTCTGCTTATCAGGTCTGTTACTGTGTGGACCTTGCAAAGCTGTTGACTGCAAAGGCCATGTTTTGTGTTATGTGCTGTGTAAGAGCTCATTGCATATTTACTTAAAAAAAGGATGGGGACTGGGGACATATGCAGGTGTGACTAGTTATATGTTAAAGGAATGCCACATTAGGGCTTCTGCTTTCCATTATTTAACTCATATTCTACAGTAAATGAACACTTTGTAGATAAAAAAAGTCATTTGGATGAGTAAAGGTGTCAGAGCTTGTTTCTGTTGTACTGTCCTTAAAATGGATACTTACATCTCAAGATTTATAATAAAGGCTGTGTCTACCTGGTGGTGAACATAAAGTATTTCTGTAAGTTAGAATAGTTTACTGTTCATAGTAATATGATCCAACTGAATTTTGACTTACTGAAAACTGATCTTGGTCTAAAAATCATCAGATCACATTACAAATGCCTTTTATTTAATGGTATTGCTGTACTGATGTGACAAAGCACGTTCTTTTATCTAGGTGTTCTGCCCTTTTGATTTAAATTTGTTTTTTCCAATTCTAGAAAGTCATTCCAAAGAGAATTTTGGAGACCATCTCAGGGATATGAATATCTACCAGACCTGAGAGATCAACTTGAAAGTCTAGAAATGGATCTCTCATTTATAATGAAGTTTACTGGTATTCATTTCACAAGTCATTTCAAGAAAACTGTGGAAAAAAGTAAGCATTTTTGTGCCCTTTATTGCTGCTATATTGAGCATAATGTTTCAGTTCATTACATCTGCATGTTGTAATTGTACTTTTCATTTTAGTAGAAAGACAATTAGAGAGAGAGTTTATTGACAAAATAGTTTCTGAGGAAATATAGTATTTTGTGTAGTGGGGAAGTGAAAGACTGCTGTGAAGTTAGTTGTGGGGGCTTTTTTTCTTAACATGTTTAACATTTATATGATGGATGGTCTCTGGTACTTTGAATATGACTAATGGACGAAATACAGTAATTGTTGAAAAGAATTATAATCAAATACTTTAACTCTCTAACAGCTAGAAACAGAACAGTGTGGAAGCACAGATTATCAGGGAATTGCCATTCCCTGTCTTTTCAAGTGGAATTTCAGCTTCTTGAAGTGCAGGTAAGGATCATCATATGTTTAAAAATAACCAACAAGCAAGCAAAGAAACAAAGCTTCAAATAGAGAAATGTCACTACTTACTTTTCCAGCTGAAACCTTCAACTGGTATTTTATCATTTCGATTGGCTGAGTCTCCTTAATCTAAACCTCAGTGGGTTGTTTTCACTCTATAACAGCTGGACCCAACTTCGGTATTCTGTGTGCATCCAAGCAAAAAATTTCTGAAGGTCAGGTTCAACATTGGGTCACAAAGTTCTTACTGTGTTCTCCTGTAGTCAGGTATCTTGTTCTGGAAACTGGAAAATTCTGAACCTTACCTCTCTTGAGGGAACTGAGGAAAAGCTAAAACAGTACAAACTTGAGCAATTGGGTTGTTTTACTTTGGTTATATTTCTGTTTGCTTGGCTAGTGTGACTAGCCATTACATCACAGACTGCACAGAGGTTACACTAATGATTACAGATTTTTTGCAAGGAATCTTTCATAAGAATGTGTTCTTCACACAGAATTCAAAATAATAAGCAGTGGAAGACAGCTGTTACCCTAACTTGTAATAATGTACCCCAATTTGTAGTAATATTTTTGACATCAGGAAATTTCTTTCTCAAGAAAACTTGATTTTCAGCTCAGCTTTAAAGGGTATTTTTTAAATTGAACGTGATTGAGCCTGATAGTATTAAAAAATGCCTTGCTATGTAAAGATGTCCTTCCTAATCTTAGGAAAAGCCCTATTATGAATTTAGGAAATGAATATTTAGATAATCACCCGTGGATTGCATGATTTGAAACTACAGGAGTGCAGCTGAATGAGGTTATCCTATAACCTCTTAAGACCATGTGTGACTTTAAACTTGTGGTTCTAGTGATATTTCACCATTTGCTTGTATAAAACTGCATTTAGGTTTGAGCATGGAAATAGCCCGCATCATTCATACGATTGATTTTTGTTTCTCACCTGTATGCTCCTGCAGAATGGTGACATATTTTAGTGTCAGTGAAGCTCAGGTGAGTGACGACGTCGTTTATTTACAGCTGCTTTGGTGAAGCTTAAATCTGTTACACCACTAGATGGCGGCACTCGTCTATGTAAGGCCTAGAACTTTAGCACGGATGAAATAATCCATAATAAGGGATATAGAATACCAAGTGTATATATTTTAAAAAACACACTTCAGTTGAAAAAATATAATTTGGAGTTTATTTTTTGCTTTTTTAAAACATAAAAGTACATGGCACCTGTAATTTACACTATAATTTGCTGTGCAGATGATGTATCAATTTACCTTAAGTTAATAAACTTTGAATTCCCAGTATTTTATGTATTTGTGTGGTGTGGGTTGTTGACATGTTGTGGAAAATGCTAAATTAGTTAAGAAGACACCAATGGAGAGTACAGTTTTTAATTTTTCTGTAATATATAGGTTTTGCTTTTTATTTTTGGTGTTACATATCCAATAAGTATACTTAGAGTTTCAAACAGACTATTTTCTTTTCCTTCACTCAATTTCTCTAAGTGTATATGAACTTGAATGTTGTTAAAGGTTTTGCATTTACTTAAATGTTACCGTGTTTTACGTAATTGTTTTATTAGAGTTGTAAAATACAACTGCTGTGTACAGTTCTATTTTCATTTTGTTAGAACTGTTTAAATCAAATAGATTTTGAGAGAATTTAGTAGTTAAAAGGTTCAGGTTGAGGATTGTATTTTTAAGATAGAATTTTGTAGTTTATATGATTAAGAAATTATTTTCTTCCATTTCATAATAATGAAAAAGTGTATCTCATAACTAGATTGTTAATAATTACATTCAGACATCTTGCTTAGTTCTACTTGGCTATTTCTGTGGTGTAAAAGTGGTGGCATGTTATCCTGGTTTTGCCACAGACTTCATATGCTGTGCAGGTCATTCTGTGGTGGAGCCAGTAGGCTCTCTGGAGATGAGTCTGCCTCCATAGCTATAAGGAAAGTTGTGGCTGCAGGCCAGACTGAGACCTGGAAATTTAGCCTGAACTTTTTAATACTTATGGCTTCTTGCATATAAAAATGGAGAAGCCTGTTTTCTAAGAAGGTTTCATTGACAGTTGCATTCCAAATAACCTGTACTGACACCAGCATGGCCAAGGTAGTGTGAAGTTGAAACTAGTTTCACCCATCTTGAGAAGCAAAGGTGTCAGCTGTTTTGGGGAAGTAACATATATTGGTATGCAGCAGAAGATAAAGAATAATTCTTTTCACTTCTGTATAACTCTAGCTATTTAATCTAGAAGTTAGAGTACAGTTAACTCAGTTCCATAGAACATTAAATCAAACCTGTTATTACAAAAACAAGTAGTTTCGGTGTGTTTATCTCTAATTTGGTTTTAAACAACTTGTTAAATGTCATTCATGATAAAAGCTATGTTCCAGAATACAACTGTACAAAGAAGGGAAGGCAGTTCTGATTCACTCTGACTAGCTTTGAATGGTTGAGATTCTGTCTGTATTACTGCAGTGTTTGTCACTCACATGCTGGACCTTTTGCTCTAAATCTAAGATGATTTTTCCTGATGTTACTTTATTCAATCCACTAAACGTTTCAGTGTCCTGGTTTGCTATTTCCACCTTTAGTGATGGCAGTGTTAGCAGTACTTCTGTCCCACCAGTACTAGGTATTGCTGTGCCATGTTTGCATTTGACTCCAGCTTGTCTGTTTAGTTTCCTCTGTGTTGCCATTCCCATTTGCTTGTAGTGAGTGGGTAGAAGAAAAATAAACTACAAAGGCTCCAGTATAAAATGAAGTATTTTCTATGTTCTTCAAGCCATGATTTTAAGAATTTACTGTTTTCTAACCTATCACTCTAGTGTGTGCAAGAATGTGTAGGAAAAATAATTAAGTTCTTTTGTGCCTTCATTTCTACTATATGAACTTATGTTCTATTTTTTTAATAACTTGTTAGACATTTTAATTTGGAAAAAATATTTTTATCATGCACATATCCTTAAAAGGGACAAGAATTTGAGGTTAAAAATAAGTGCCTTAAAATTAAAAAAAAAGGAAAACACGAATATTTTTTTACTTAGTGTAACATTATTATAGTTTTCAGATGAAAGTTTATATTTGTTTCCTGATATATATGTGGCAGCTAGGAGCTGTGTTGGAAAATAGAAGAATCTTAAAGAAGTGGAAGTGACATGAAAGAAAGTAGATTAACTTCTTAAAATTCTTTATACATATATGTTCTCTATGCTGACAAGTGCAGGTATTATTCCAAAAGCCTTGCTGTATGGATAGTAGTGATACTGTTAAAATGAAAAAAAAAAATCTCCATATATATAAGTTGTAGTTTAAAAACCCGCTAGTTTATAGTACTTAGCATCATTTGCATATATTTTGTCTACTATATATGTGAATAGATATGGTTTCCTTCTTGCTAGAGAAATTTCTAAAATATGATGTTGTTGCTCCTCCAATCTAGAACAAAGAGAATGTGTCTGTTGTTGTTAGTGATCTCAGCGTTTTGATGTCTTGTGGAGGCGATTCCTATGTGAGCAAGTTTGTGTCAAGGTAAGTTGGAGTTTTTTGAGGAAAGTTGTTGTATGGGATATCTTATACTACATGCAATACTGAATTTTCATAGAAATTCCATAGAAATTGCTGACAGTCAGTTTGGTAATGTACTCTTAGCCCAGCCTAAACACTTCTGGTCCCTTATCAGTATCTTTTGGAGAGAAGATGAACTGCGTTTGATGTGGTGTGAACCTGGCTGGCAGCCAAACACCTCGCAGATGCTTGCTCACCCTCCTCCGCCCGGGGAATGGGGGAGGGAATCAGAGGGGTGACGATAAGGAGACGTGTAGGTTGAAATAAAAACAATAATAGAAATAAACAAACGGATAATGCACAACGTGATTGATCACCACCTGCTGACTGATGCCCAGCCTGTTCCTGGCTTGTGATCCCAGAGAAGTGAGAATCCCCAAACTGCAATTCTGGAAGTGATGGAGTTTCCCTACCAACCCTCATCTATACACTGAGCATTATAAGATGTGGAGTATTCTTTAGGCCAGTTTGGGTCTCTTGATTTGGCTGTGCTCCCTCACAGCTTCTTGTGCACCTGTGCACTATCAGGACAAGGGAACTTGAAAAGTCCTTGATGTCTTAGCAACAACTGAAAACACCAGTGTATTATTAACGTTCTTCTCATACCAAATCCCATGCTGAATCCAAAACACAGCGCTATTCCAGCTACTAAGAAGAAGAAATTCACTCTATCCCAGCCAAAACCAGGACGCGTTTTAGAGACCTGAAAGAACTGTTATGAATTCATGTTAAACAGAAATAGTTTTTGGATTATGATGTGTTTAGCTGTTTGAAATTACCTTGTTATATCTTTCTCTGAATGAAACCTCTGCTATTGCATTTTCGCTTGTGTAATCAGCATGTCAACCGTTACTGGGATGTGTGAGTTGTAGATGTTCAGTGGGGGTGAGTAATGGCTAAAGTCTACATCCAGAACCCCTCTCCAGTACTTGCCTGTTGCTAAATGTCTGCTCACCATTCTATTTCTCTGCATTGGAATTTATTTCACTGATATTTTAACAACAATAGAATATTGTTTAAAAGCCTGGGATAGTGCATTTGTGCAATGGCTTGAGAAAACGTATGTACTAAAACTTAAGCATATGTCTGAATGCTACTTTTTGATTATTTTATGGAGGATGTCAGCTTCTTATGGTACACAGGATTAATAATGATCCAAGTATTTGTGGTATTCCACTGTGAAATCTTCTAGCAAGCTACTCTAGAAAAAATCTATTATTAATTATTATTGGGCAGATGACAATCCTGTTCTTTAAGTGATTTGTTTTATATTATTTCTTAGACTTGGGGAGGGAGAGGGAAGGCAAATGGATGGGTGAGAAGAAAGGTGTATTGAGTTACTTCAGACTTCACTAACTTATACTGAAAGCTGAATTTTTTGTTTAGAGGTTTTGGGATTTCCATATAAACCTACTAAAGCTCATGGTATAACTGGGAATAGTAGATGACTGCTTTCAAGAAGCAGGATTTAGAAGAGGAAATTACCCTGCCTTTTTCATGAGTATTTTTCTGACAGCAGAAGTGTCTTGGAACTTAATAGTCACACTGGAAAGAAATGCGTTGAAGTAGTGGCAGACTTTATTTCATCCTGGCTTGAGCGCTGCTGTCTTGTCCCTGTCTCTTCCCTACCCTGGTCCTTTTCCACATTATGCCAGTATTCATAGGTAAACATAAATTTTCATAAATGACATAAGAGGAATTAAGGCTTTGCTGTCAACAATGCAAGCAGTTCTTTCTCCTCAGCTTGTTTTTGCACATACCATCTGTTGTCCTTGTGTCAGTGTATATGCTCCTGAAGCCATGTGGCAAATAGGTTCAAAGTAGTCATTTGGGTGACAAAGTAATTTGACCCCCATTAAAATTTCATTTTTTCTGTTTGACTTCTCGAGTGTTACAGTGTTTGCTGCTGGTCTACGACTGATGGTGACAATGTCTGTTTTGACAGTATGCTGCTGAGATTGATGTCCCTTTATAGCTTGTTTTCTCAATCCCCTTGTTAAGATAGTTCTCATTTCTTACTCTTAAATCCTAATCCCTTCTTTTCATGTCCAGTTTCAGGCTTTTGCCCATTCAGGCCTGTATTCTTGAGTCCACCAGGTGCTCTTAGAATCTCTTCCCTCACCTTTCCTCCATTCTTGACCAGCTAAATCAGGTTATCCTCTGTAATGTTTGTTCTTTTCAGCCTACCCACCAGTTGCTGTTTCTTCCTTTTGCCTTCTTGGCCCAGTTTTGCCAAAACCATTGTCTAGCTCTGTTCTGTTTTCCCTGCTGGCCTGGATTTTTTTTCTCCTTGGCTTTTTTTTTTTTTTTTTTGCTTAGTTTTTCATAAAGCATGACAGAAAAGGGTCTTCAATAGCACCAGAGTTAAAAACTTGGCATTTGGTAGTAATTCCTAAGCCCACCGTGCTTTGGAAGAAAAGACCAGAATGCTAGAACACTTGAGCAACACATTTTTAAAAGAAACAAAATTCAGCAGTTTAATTTCAACCAGGTACTGCTGCAATATATAATACCTATTTTTAAAAGATATGTACCATTCCTCAAATATGTTGTGACAATAAAGTATGTTTGCACACAGAATCACAAAATTTAGTCTTCTACTTTCGGATTCTATTTGAGTCCCCTGTGTATGATTTAAGTTATACTTTTTTAGTGTTGCAGAGCAGAATATTGATGAAAAATCTTGCTACAAGTATTTCTTTTTTTTTTTTCCCCCCTTGATATCCCATTAAATGTTAGATTATTTAACTATTGCACAGATTACTTAAATGAGAGGAGTTTTTAGACAGTTTGAAAACTGTTCCTACTTTTTACTAACTAATTAGAATTTATGAGTCAGAGTGAAGGATTTATGAAATGTCTGCATTATATGGGCTAGATATTTTGGAAGTGAGGGGAAGCACGAATTCTTCCCACAACTGTGAGTGTCATTCTTTGGTTTTATATGTTAATGCAAGAAGTCTTGCATACCGCACTGAGGTAAAATAGATTTTTCTCTCAGAATAACAAGTTCTTACATACTTCTGTGTTTTGTTGATGTTAGTTTGTAAAAGTGAAATGGTGTTTGGATGAAGGGCATGTGAGTTTAACCTGATACATAGTTACTCTCTGACTAAATCTGCTTTTTGCTGATTTTGGATGACTTCTCTGTTACATGGATTTTGGCTTTGGAGATGGGTGTTTTCTGCTCCTAGTGGTTTTTTTTAACAAACCTGGTGACATTTTGTTATGCTAAATTCTTTCCAAAAACAAAAAAGAGGAGGCTTACATTTTAACATGCACTCTCTTAATACCTTGTTATTTTATGGTATTTTAGTGTTTGTTGTAGTTGGCTTCAGCATTAGGAAATAGACTAATTTAGGCTAATTAAGAATTATTGTTTATGGGTAGTTTAAGTGCTGTGAGACAGTTAACTGAACTGGTGCTCTTATGCAGTCTCTTTTTCCCTTGCCAATATAAAAAAGCACATATGTTTGTGCCAACACAGATTTTCCCTCTTTCTAAACACTAAATCTAGCTTTCTATTTTAAATTTAGCCAGTGCTCTATCTGTACATGAGAGAAGTAGATACTTGGGTATAATTTGTAGAGTAACTTTTACATTTAAAAATGGTTCTTTCAACTTGTTAGCCAAAATTATTTCTCTCTGCTTTGTGACCTATCCTTGAAAATTTTCTTTTGCTTTATTGCCTAAAGATGAATCTGAGAGGAAGGAAGAAAGAAATATAAATAAATTTGACATAATGTTCAAACAAATCATAATATTTGTGATACTCTTGTAAATTGCATGGAAGTGGATACTCATCAAAGTTGTCAAGTTATTTTAAAAAAGAATTTTAAGTGTGTAGTTTTGCAACTAAATTTTGTCTTGCCATCTTCCACGTACATAGAACTACAAAGTGTATTGTAGTCTGTGTAGAATCATGTTCACTAGACAGTGAGATGTGGGCAGCCGTTGCTAAGTGCTCAATTTTTCCTGTAGTATATGAAGATTTTTATATGTACAATTACAAGTTGTGGTTACAAAAAGCTGTCCAGATCATAGAGCTAGTCAGCTATTGTAAATCAGTATGTGTCTGTCCTTCCAGTGACTCAATTTTTTGTGTGCTGCCAGCAATTTTTTTTATCTCGTCCTGATTTTGTTAGCAGCTGTGACTGCTGTGAAACGTCCTTTAATGATGCTGTTCTTTGCAGGCTAGAATAGAACTTGTTTGGCTTTTCTTTTACGTTTTCAATATCTGAATGAACTTCCTGGATTTTTTACAGTTTACGTTTGTGTAACATGTTAAGGGTTGCTGTTCCTGTACATTAAATAGAGGTGGATCTGAGGCACAGTTCTCCCTGGTATGGCTGAGGTGATGTGGTAATACGCTGTTGCAACTGTTCTGTTAATGGCCTTAATTAAGTTTCTGCTCTCAGCTGTTCTGAAAATCCAAAAAGAATAGCTAGTCTTGTACAGGATGTTAAAAGTAAAATTTACATGTAGAATCTACATTCTCTGTAACTTTTTGAAATTTCCCAAATATGTCAGGTATCTTTTTCAATCAGGCTTTGTAAACTTGTATTTTCAAAGCAGTGTTTGCCAGGTATGTTTTGACAATGGCTAACAGTCATTTCATCTGACTGTGTCTTCAGATCAAGTATGACCTGAAGCTGTTCACCCTTATGATTAAGGAATCTTATTGCTTCAGGTATTGTGACACTTAGCTTTTGTGGAATTTTGCATTCTTGCCACATGTCTTTAGGAAAAATTGCACACCCTTTACAAGAATTTTTCCTCCCTCCCCACAACAACACTGGATAGATGATTGGCTATTTGGCAGTTTCTGTCATCTTACGTTGTCTCCTTTCCTTTCTCTATCCTGATGCTTATATGATGAGGAATCTGAAGAATAAATTTGTTTTCTGTTGAGTTTTTTCTTAAAATTAAACCCTCCAAGACTAACTCTTCCCTCCCAGCTCCCTCTATTTTCTCTAATCTGGCTTTAATATAATTATCCCTCATAACAGTGGATGGACCGTCTATTTTCTCTCTTGATCAGAGCTGAGAAGCTGTATGGTTGCCATCACTGTGGTGTTAACAATAAAGAGGGTAAGGTCTGTTCAGTTCCTAATTTCTACAAGCCCTTTACTGTGACGGCACTTATCTTAAATGGATAAATATTCATTCAAATGGTTCTAATCCTAATTGTTCTAAGGCAGATTTTTGCATGTAACTGATTTCCAGTATCTTGGCTTCATTTCTTCTATTGTTACCTGCCTTCCTGGGCTGTCTCAGAGTGAATGTTAATAGTATACTTCCACTAAAAATGTTTTGCTTGTGTACATCATAGTTAACAGGCAAACTAACAAAGTATTGCTAGGAGGACAAAATAGTAAATGTATTGTGAAAGAAGGTTACTCTAGTGCCAGTTACTGAAGTAGAAAAGCATTTTTAATAGCAAATTTATTTTGTAAATCCAATAAAGGAATGTACTAGCCCTAGTGTTTGATGCATTGCAACTTCTCTTATATGCCATATCATTACTACCTTGTAGAGTCATGAAAAACAAGTGATATCTCTCAGTCCAAGTTAGTGTGGTGTTATTCATCAGTGTCAGTTCGATGTTTTGCTATCTTATTCAATAGGAGTAATCATCTGTGCATATCAAGAGCAGCCTTTATTTTCAGAATGGTGTGTATTTAATTATCCATTCTCGCAGAAGGGATAAGTCAGCCATGCAGCTTTCCTTGATTCTGTGCTTTATGCAGTGTTTGGAACTTATTTAGAAATTACTTCAGCAGTAATTTTGTATATATTTTTCAAAATGTTTGCTTCTTTGGGAGTGGAAACTTCTGTTTGATTCTTTGGATACTGTGAATATTTAATTTTGAAAGGATATTGAAGTTTAAATCATTTAACTTTTTTGTGTGTGTGAAACAAGGACATGTAGGATAATTTCCTTATTTTCCAAGTGCAAAATCTGTTTGTTTTACTTCTATGTGTTGCTTGTATCTGTTTGTATAACTTCTATGTGTTGCTTGTATTTTTAACTTGATTCCAAAGTCCAGGAATTGGGATCTCTCAGCTTTAGCTGGCACTGTGTATTGTTGCCTCTGTCAACTATTGTCAGTGGAGATGGAAAAATCTTACTGTATATGAAGTCACTGTATGTAAACATTTTCACTTGATGGTATTTAATTACTCAGAAACTAGCAAAGCTGAAACTATAGGAACTCTTCTTTATAGGAACTCTTCTCATATGCTTTGTCTCTTGTATTGAAAATTCCTCGGAAATGCCAGAAAGTAAAATGACTACTGCTGACTTTTCTGTTTCAGAGCCCCTATGAGTGAAAAAGATATTTGCAATAACATTGGAATGGAATGATTTCCTTGACAGAATAGCACCGATATGTTAGCCTCATGATGTAGGCTGTAAGCTCTACTAAATCCATACTGGCTAAGTGCAAGTCCTGCAAAGCTGTCTCTGCACTTTTCTTTGTAGGACATCAGGTTCCAAGCAATTTATTAGTGCAACTGTAGGATCATTTGTATGAATGAAGCCATAATGTATCAATGTGTAGCTGAACTGCTAAATTACTAGTGTGTCTAAATCTGCGGAAATACCAGGGGGCATTCTGCAAGTATCAGCTCAGCTCCTTCCAGGCTTAATTCTGCTTACAATGGGCTTGGCATGAAGATCTTGGCACTCCACTTCTCAGTTACAGATTTACTGGCATCTCTCTCCCTGGTTCTGCCCTGCTCCCTAGTTATTGAGAATATCACTACCTTCCTTAATAGCTGAGAAACCAAGATTTAACTGTATATCTAAAGTTTTGGTTTAGATGCCATGTACAATCTAATGAACAGGTCGTTTTGCTTCCTGAAGTTTCAAGGTTAATCTTGAGAAGCTGGGTGTCCTGGGCAGAGGCAGATGATGTGTCATGCAAAGATTTAGTTGAATAGGGCATAGATCTCAGGAATATTGAAAGCTTACTGATGCAATCTGTTAGATCATACTGTTTTTATAGCTTAAAGTTTTACCATGCAACATCTTGGAATTTATTTAGAAAATGAGCTAGAACAAGCATGAAGTCAAACTAAGATTTTTACAGGCAACTACTTTGTTATATTAATTCTGTTTTACATATAAGACTAACTTTATTGTTGCTTACCTTCTTGAGGAGTTGAAAACCCTGCTTTATAAATGAATTTTTCAACCTTTTTTCACTATCTACACTATCTACAGCTTTTTTCCCTGGCAATTTTTTTTGGTGATCTCTGGCTTCAATTTTGAACAATACTAGTCACAAATTCTTTAAGGAAAAACTGCAAATTTTAGGCTGTAGAATTGGTTTGTCTGAGTAGTACTATTTAGTTTAAACAATATATTTTTCTTTTATAGCATTGAAGAACATGGAAATCTTTTACAATTTTTCAGAAGCCTTTCATCTTATGCTGAGTGGTATGAACATCGTAGATGCACCTTTCTACATTTCAAGGTAATGTCTATCAAGCCTTTATATATCAGTACTATACTTTGTTCTTTAAGTAGTTCATTAAGACAGAGCAGTGGAGGAGAAATTAGCACTCTTTAGCAGTGTATGGGAATCTTAATTTTGTATGTTGTGGAAAAGAGAATATTAGGTAGAGACTTTTGTGTTGTGTTCAAGGGGCAGTGCCCTTGCTTGGTATTTGTCTTGATTTTTACCGTGCTAATGCTGTGTTCTTCTCATGTGAGGGAAAACAAGAAGGTCTGTGTTTTTCTGTGGGGTAGTAGGACAGTTTTTTGTTGGTATTGCATTTCATTTTGGAAAAAAAAAAAGGCAGAAGAAAATAACATTTGTAGTCTCTGGCATTTAAATGTTCTGAAGGACTGGATCTGTCTCTTGAAAATGTGGCAGCATGTGTCTGGGCAACAGCACTTTCAGTTCTGAAATATTTTACTTGAATGGGAAATAAACTGTTCCTCACTCTTAACTGGGACACAGTATTTGAATTGATATCAAATTGCCATTATTTATCTTGTTTACTTTGGTTTTGTTCTGGTTTTAAGATCAAAAACTTCGTATGATGGTTGATGTAGAGGAGGATATTCGGCTGCTTAATTGTCTGGTTTTTTAGTTCAATTTCATTTAGCTCAAGCTTTTACCGTCATTAAACTCAGCACCATCTTAGGTCTTTCCGAGTTCTGTGCTAGATTAATCAATTTCTATTATCAATTAATCAATTAGATTAAAGAAGAAAAAGGCACTAATTTCCAATAATGTTTTAAAAAAAAAAAAGTCTTCATCTGAGTAATAAACTGATGTTGTCCGATTCGGCTTGTTGTTGTATAAGGACTTTTCTTTAATCCCTCCATAGAGAAAGTAGAGCACCAAGGGCTTTATGGCTTTGTGGTCTGGGGTTTTTTTGAGTTTTTCCAACTTGATGCTTTCTGATCCTCAGATCAGCCTCATGACAACAGTCACTGTGGTTTCTGGGACAGTGATTCAGTGAACAGTTGTAAATACGTTTCAGAATTCAGTACAAAAAAGTAAAAATAGCAAGGAAATAGGTCTGGAGATTATTTTTAATTTGTGTGCACCTGAATTAGTTTTAAGAAGTATGTTAAACATTGAGTGTAAACAATGAAGGGATATATTTGTTGCTAGAAGATGTGTGAAGGTAGATTTACTGCAGGCCTATAATACAAGTTTATCAATATTACAAATATTCTTTCTAAAGGGATTTTTCTTTCCATGGACAGAGATGCTGTTGAGAAAGGCAAACCAATCTGGAAGAATATTTATCAAATGTGATTGACAGGGGACTTATGAAGAGTTTTTTAGGCCTTCTTATTTCTGCTAGCATTAGTAATAATTTAATTTAGAAGTAGAAGACTTTCTGAGGTGAGAGAATTAATAAAGTGCTTAAAGATCAAATATGTAACCAGGTTGCTAAGGGAAATGTGTATTTGTAACAATATTCTGTAGTAACTTGTGTGAAAGCAACTAGAAGTATGGTTTTAATATTTGCATAAAAATAAGTGAAGAGTCTTATCCTGTTAATGTTCACACGTGGACAACATTAAAAATGACTCTCTAATCTTTTTTGTGGTTTTTTTTTTTTTCCTACCTACTCTCTAGACTTGAAATATATATAGGCAGGTAACTGTGCACAGTACTGGAGAGAATTTTTTTATTTGGGATGGGGTTCTGGGTTTATACCATTTATACCATTATTTTGTTATTTAAAAGAAAATTACCCAAGCTGTTAAGTAGAAATAGACAGTGTTTCTAATAGTTTTCTCACAGTGTAGTGTAAAACAGGAAAGATATTTTTTTTTTTTCTGTTAGCCTTGGTACTTGAGAAGAAAGGAATAATGTAGAAGTGGTAGATTACTTCAAATAACAATGAATGTTTGAGATGAATGGCATTTGCAAGTTTCAAGCAAAGTTGGATAGCACTGTGTTTCTAAAAAGCTGATCATCACAAATGGGAGTTTCATAGTGAGAGCTTTCCTGGTTGACAAGAGTAATGGCAGGATGGATAACTTAGATTAGTCAAAAAAGTAAGGTAATATACACATTTATTTGTAAGCAGGCTTTCCTATAAAGCAGGGACAGGTTTAAGTTGGTGTGAGTAGAGCAATGTTCATTTGTGAGGATTTTGTGCTCTGCATTATAATACTCCCTGACATTGTGCTTCAGAGTTGTGGTTTTTTACTGAAATAGGTTAGTCTACAAATTGCATGCTCCACATACAATCAGGAGTTGAGTATACCATTAATACTCTCTGCTGCTGCTCCTCTATTCTCCTGGGAAAAAAAAAATCTATGAAGTAGTGCTTTAAATAGATTTTGAAGGGGGTGAGTGAAGTGTCCCACAAGTTTCTTGTGTGGTGGTACTTGTATGGCAGGTCTTACTACATTGCCACGGTGAATATTATGTCTCTAAAATGGATTTACATTGCAAATATTTTTCTAATCTAGATGCCCCCTTAGTCTGCTATGAGGCTGAACAACTCAAGCATATTGACATTGCTGGAAGAAAAAAATATTCAAGTTTTATTGGAAATACAGACAGGAGTGATAGGAAAAAAATAGAATGGTGTACATTCAGCTTGATATTAATACTGGTCACACAAATAGAAGGCAAAAAAATCCTGCATACTGAAGCCCTTCTCACTTCATGTTTGATGAGTTAACTTGCTATGAATGGAGAAAGTAAATTAAAACATATCAGATAATTTATTGCCTGCATGAGGCATTCAGAAGGTACTGTTGTCTAGTTTGGTTTGCTCACAAAATAAGTGTTAATTAGCGTTACTTTTGATATTTAGTACTCTTTCAAAAATATATACAACATTTTAATGTAAAATTAATTATATGGTAGTGGTTAGGTCTCAATGTTTACATGTGTGTATATATTACATAAATGTGCATATAGTTATGAAAAAAATTCTACATGTTTACACAAGTAGAGTTCTAGTGATACTGATCCTATTAATACTGAAATTTATTTAGTAATAATGATTTGTAATAAGATCAGAGACCACTGCTTACGTAACGTTATTACACTTAGATGTCTCTTTGTGTTTGCTCCATCTTAGGAATTTATCAAAAGAGGGATGAGACAATTGGTGGCTTTTTTTTCCTATTATAAATTTAGCTTGAAGTTGGAATATATTTTTACATGCTTTGGGGTTATTTTTTACCTTTTGCTAGAGACCTGGTAACATCAAAGTTCTGTGACTTGACTTATATGGGAAATGAAAAGCAAGTATTCGTTCTCACTTGCAGACTTGGTTTTGTTCTCAGTTGTATTAAGACAAGCAAATTTTTTTTTTAATACCAAATAAATTAAAATGAAAAATATTGGGGATTGCTGTGTCTTTCCTGGGTGATGCATTCAGGGCAAAAATATTTTTGTCCTGCATTTTATAATTGCATTCTCTTTTTGAGAAAGATGAGCCTGCATTTGATGCTTGACATAGTTACATAAAAAGTGACTGAAAGTTGTTTAGGTCTCAACATTCTTCGTGGCAGAGCATCAGTAAGTTCAGAATTGAGTGTGCACTTAATTCCCCATAGCACAAGCACTAAAAAATCAAGGCGTAGCTAAATAAGATAAACAAAACTAATACAAAATATTGTGTAAAAATCAGTATTTTAGATGTAGTGATACATCATCATGCATTTGATGCCTAACTATATCTACGAATTAGGAATCTATACTAGCTTCAAAATTAGTATAAAGTTGATCTGGTAATAATAACTAGCACTCTTTTGACATTCATTCATCTGAAGACTTTATGCCTGTGGTAGGTTTTGAAGGGGAGAAACTGAAAATGAAATGTCAGGAATGTATAGTTGTGTAACTAAAAACATTGCATCCTCTATCAATTCTGTTTAGTTTTAGGTGAACTAACTGTTGAGGCCTGCACACATCAATGTGTGTTTTTAATATACGTCACGGTGTAAAGTAGTTGAGTACAATTATGCAGTTGTTGATAGAATCAACTTTTTAAAGATCTGATTTGATTTTTCTCTAATGAGCATAAGTATTGTTGTACAAGGGTACTTCTTTTTCTTTGCACTGACATCTAGCTGAAATCTTACTTATTTACAGGTAAAAACATTAATTCAGCTTTGTTGTTAATTGTCTTTTCACATTTCCTTGTCAAGAAAGAGCAAAGGAACAAGGCTCAGTTTACATCATCTGTTAATAACAAAGATACTTGGGGTCATGCTATGCTGTACTTTGACCATTGTATTAAAATGGGAAGTTGGTGTTGCAAAAATAACTCTTGCAAGTACAGCTGAGCAAAATTTATATATTTCAATTAAGAATACGTAAAAATAAAATACGTATATTTTATATTTATACACACACTCTCTTAAATCATTTTGAAAGCAGAATACTAGAAATAGATTAACACATCCTCAAAAAGTTCCACTTTTTATGTTGCTTGGTACACTAAGCCTAAATAGGAGTTATTCCCATTTTCAGCAAACCAAGTTTTTAAGGAAGATTTAATGAAGTTAAGCTTTGATAAGTTCTGTTTCTAAGCATAACTTCATTTTGTATGCAACTTTTTTCAATATGCATTTGAAAGTCAACTGAGTTTCAGATTAAAAAAGTGGGATTTGATTTAAGGTGTATTTTTTCCTCCGTAGCTTGCTCAAAGAATGTTTTGTACTTATTCGAAAGTAAAATGTAGTGATTGATCAGGGTGCCAGTGAAGAATGTGAACAATATGATTTTACCCACATGTAAAGAATATGTGGTGAAATAAAAGTTGCGAAGATGTGTGTGCATATATGTATTTTTATACTTTCATTAACAGAAAAGGTTCTGAAAGTATGGATGACATTATAACTACTAAAATGGCTGTTTTGAAATAATTATTTCAGAGGAGAACCACATTTCAACATAGTAAAAGGTTCTGGGTATGCAGGTAAAATAGTATTAGTAAGGGAGAGAACATAAACATGTAAAAGAGGAAAAAAGAGTGATCTTCTGTTACCATGTTAAAGTTTTAGCATGTATAATTATGTACATAGTGGCTAGTAGTATGTTCCTACAGGCAGTGTTTTCAAGCAGGAAAAAGCATTAACGTGCTTTGCCAAGAGGATCGGATTCCCTTCCATCCTTATCTCATCCATACGTGTGCGGATGTATCGTGTGTTATTAGATTTGCAGAATGTGTCATCGGTGATTGTAGTAATATTGTTGTACTGCAAAACAAAATTATGTTTTTGTAAATAAATACACACATATATATACACCCCCCCCCCCCCCCCCCCCAATATATGTTTAAGAATTTTGGAACTTTAAATTTATTCCTCTTATCCTCCATTTCATTGTCATTGGGATTGATTTTATGTAAATTACAGAGATGTAGGAATCAAGTTTCCTTAAACCAATCAATGATTTGATAAACAGTTTGAGGTTGTTGTTGATGTTTGAAATGTGTTGTTGATAAAAGATTATTGCTTATTTTTGCCATTTCCTATCCTTGATGTACAGAAACTAATGAGAAATTCTTGCGTGGTAATTAGCTAACTAGCAACTTCTGTACACCAAATGGTTGTGGCCATACAGATTAGAGGTTACTGTTTTGTTTGGAGGAGCATTAGACAGTGTAGCACAACTGCAGTGTGAACTGTTTTAAAAGACAGTGGGTTTGCTTTGAAGTGTGTAACTAATGAGGCTCCTTGTAGTAGAATGTTAAGGAAATACTTAAAAAATACCTGAAGGTGAAGAATACGCAGACTTTCTGGTAAGTTAAGGGGAACAGATTCCAGTGCGTTATGTCCTAAGTAGAGGTAGGCCAAATTTGTCAGCTTCTAATAGAAAGAGAGAGAGATTATTAATGCTGATATTACTTAAGGTTAAGTAACTTGTGCCTGTTAGAAGACATTGGTATTTTTTTGCAATCACATAGAAAGCACATACAGTGATCTAACATGAAACATTCTTTTGCTGTGAATGTTTAATTCTATTGTATCAAGAAACTCCTAGAACAGGCCTTCTGTGTTTTGGAAATTTCACTGTCAGCTTATTGGTTATAAAAATCGAGACCACTAAAAAGCTAGATCCTTGTTTTTATGTGTCCTCAGTATTTATGTGTCCTCAGAACTGTATTTGAGCCATCAATTTTGAATTGAGTTTTTCTTTGCTTGTAGGAGACAAGAAGTAGGTAAGGTATTTCACTGAAATTTTTTTTATATGAACAATAGGAGAGAATGAGTGTGCAAAGGGCTATTACTCCAAAGTGCCTTAAAAACAAACAAATAAAAAGCTGGAAAGCTACTTCATCTTAGTTTGTTTCTTAGATTACAAAAAATCATTTGGTGGTATACTGAATAGTCAGGTTACTAATTTTATTTATGTTGGTTACTAAAATTGTTGTCTTTTACTCACCTTGAAAGCATTTGCTTTGATTCCTCTGCTCTTGATTCTGTTTTGATTTGCATTAAATGTTGTTAATTTGGGAGGTAGAACAGGAAGTTTTAGAAGTCGATTTTCAGCAAGAGAAAGTTCTTCCAATAACAGAAGCTTTGAAAAGGCTCCATCTTCTATTTCTTCTATCCTATTTCCACTAAAATCAATTCTTCTCAAGGTAGCTTTATGCAAAAGAAATGAAAACCTAAATATTGAATTTATAACTACATAGCATGTGAAATGTGTGGTGTATGGTTGTATATGGTAGGAGTTACACTGTTGACTGCACCATCCTAATTGTGATCTACAAATGTAAATACTATTAAATTATGAAAAAAATCCTCATGGTCTTAAATTTAAAAAAATAATAATGTTAAGGAAAATACTCTGGATCCTTCCTCTCTTTCCTAGAGACAACATGATTTCAGATGTTCATAGAATTTGTCACGTAGAGTGAAAGAGCTGGGAGAGATGTCCCTGGAGCATTTGAAGGAAAAATAATACCTGGTCATTTAAGACTGACTGGGATGCAGAGATAAATTTTATTTTTAGTAGTCTGCTCTTTCTTTGATATGGGAATATTAAGATGGTTGCATGAGCCAAAATGGGTTTCCATGTTGCCTTCGTAGTTCCTGTTCTAATACAAGCATTGAAGTAAATAAATAATACACATACTGAAATCTAGCAAAGTATAAAAAACATCTTACTTTCATAATCTTGGCATGCTGTTAAGGGACAACTTCAAATATACTATCAGGTAAACAGAAAATAAAATTTGAACATTACTTACTAATGTCAGCAAAATCTGAGACTGCTATCCTTTTTATTTTGTTAAATCGTGCATAAAGGTATGCTGTTTCCTTTGGCAGTGGGGGTACAGCTTCGATGTCTATTTCCTCACAGTACACTGATCCACTTAAACACACACAGAGCAGACAAGTAGGTAAATCTGAAAGCGAATTATTTTGAGTAGACAGTTAAAAGTTATTCAACTAACTTAAGCTTGAATATTCAAAATAGAATTTTCTCTAGTATCTTTTAAGATTTCTTATCACTAGATTTAAAAAAAAACCAACCTGTTGACATTAAGTTCTGAAAATATTTAATATTCTGGATATTTTAGAGTTTTGTATGTTTATTGTGCATCATTTCCCTGTGTATATTCTCTCTTCTTACTAATTTCTCTTAATTCAGTTACTCTAACATAAAGAATGTATTGTGAATATGATGGCTGCAACTCTGTGGCCATGTTAAATGTCATCTTCAGCAGCATTCTTTTGAAAAGAGAAATCCATGCAGGAGTGCATATCCATCTGGAGAAATCCATCTGGCAGTGCATATACTGCATTGGAGCATATCTGGTAGGGTCTAGTACACTCTGTGTTATTCCTAACTGCTATTTTGTCTAATCTTTTTTACAAGAATGCTAGCAATGATGTTTATATAAGTACTTTAGGCAATCTGTTCCAGTTTTTACTGAGAATTTTTTTTTTTTAATAGCTGTTATTTGAAGTAGCGAGAGAAACTCTGTATCTTTTTAAATGCAGTTTAAAGCCCATTTTGGCTTGTCCTGTTCCTCATAGACATTAGTAATTAGACCTTCTGCTTTGTGTTAATCCTGTATGACAGCAGTATTAAAACACAGATGGCTTTCAGTCCAGTTTTGTCACCACTGCTATCTGATCTGCTGTGTTTCCTATATTGTGAGATTTTTGGTTAGCTTCCAAAATGGTCTGTCTATAGTCAAGAGCAGTGTCATACTGCTAGGTAGTCTGTTATCATTATGTAGTAAAATAGGATTTTTCCACAACCAGTGCAGAGTTATAGAAATAGTCAATACCAGGAAGCCAACAGAGTCTGTATATTTTTTTTTTTTCTTACAGAGGTACTGCATAGAATAGAATTGATGTTTTGAGCTTTAGCTCTGTGATTGTTACCATTTGGTAGACTTTAGAGTTCTGCCTCATTTGTCTTTTTTGATTTAGTGTCTTGTTTGTCATACGCTGGAGTGTAGGAAATGGAAAATGGTTGTGAAACAACGTTGTCATTATTTGAAAGGCAACAGGTTTTATGCTTGTCTGTGAGTAGAAGCTCTGGTGTTCTTACAGATTTGTTCCGCTTTTGATGGGGGCTTGTTGACAGATGGTATTTGGCAATAACTAACCTATATGAAAACTGTTGGAGATTGACACTCCAGTGGTCTTGTTGAATCATCAGTTATTTTTGGAAGTTTAGATCAGATACACACGAAATATGTGTGTCTCTTTCAATACTATGTTCAGCAGACAAAAAATTTTTTCCTGTCAAATTTAGAAATCATTGTGGATCACTAGGAGAAATCTGGACAATATACTTCAGAACCTGTAGGAAATTTAGGCTTGTGAAGAATGTTACTGATATACATCTTAATCGTTCCCTTCCCTGATCTTCAGATTTAAACTGTGAGAATAACCAGTTTTTTGAAAACATCTATCTAATTAATTTAAGCACTTTCATCATTACATGGTTAGACTGGCACTTACTGATGTGTGTGTTTTGTTTTTCTTGGTTTCCTTGACTAACTTTTAACTTGGGTATATCTCTACAGCAAATGAGACTGGGTAAGTCTGTAGAGATTCTTATAAGATGTTCTTTGTGTATTCAGATTTTAACTGAGGGTCCTTTAAATTTTGTCAGCCTGCTCCATCAGAAGTGAGACTTTCTGCAGGAGATATGAAAGATATTAATAAATGAAAAGATTAACTCTGTATCCCTTGTCATCCTTTGTATATTCAATTTTCATATTAAAATATGTTCTTCTGGAGATCTTAAATGTTAAAGTATTCATATTAATTAACTTACTTGTATCCTTTGTTGGTGGTACATTGCGTTCACTGTCATCCCCTTGCAGTCTTAGGGAAATGTCAAGAGAAACATTTGTTCCATCCTTTGTGTGAGAACAAATGTTATGTTAAAAACCAACAGCAAACAAAAAGTATTATAAGGATCTGAAATAGCATGTCTTCTAAAAATGATCTTCCTATGACATACTTATGACATTTAATTTTTAAAATCACATTAGTCATCCAGCATATAGGAGTATATATTATCCCTTTTGTACATGAGCTATTCACTCTGAAAGGCAAGAAGGGAAAGTGGTGCTCTTAGTGTTCTTTAGAAAAGTAAAGTTCTTTAGGAAAGAATACCAGACACAAATTAAAAATAGAAAATATAGACTATCTAGTGGGGAAAGAATATGTAAGCAGTAGGTGCCTACAAAAAACTGGAGTTCTGAAGACAGATGATTTTGTACATCATGCAAAATTTGATGGGATTTCTTGTGAATGTAAGTTGGTTTTTTTGCTTTACCCAAATAATCTCAGTAAAATAACATTTTCTTGCATTTAAAATTATCCAGAATTTGCTGCTGAAATAGTCACTGCATCTTTTCAGTTGCAGGACAACTTAATTTATAAACATGTTCCTTTCAGGTATTGGCTGAAGTTTTGCAATTTATTTCTTTTAACTGTGCTTAAGTCTCTTTTAATGCCTGGGCTGTTAACTAACAGAAAGGGTCTTTGTGATGGAGGGAATGGTAGTCAGGTTTTCACTGAATAATGTAGGGATTTTGGAGAAATACATACTACTTTTAGAATTATAGTATATTTACAATGGGTTATACCATGATTTGCATGTATTAAAGTTAAGGGGGTTTTTAGGTTGACTGTGGTAGTTGTTCTTGGCTATCATAATTTGTTGTCTTTTTTGATGGGGGATATTTGTAGGACAGAGTAAGACAGTATGCTTTTTGTCTGCATGGCTATTGAAAAAACATGAAGAAAAAGACATTATCAGTACTGATGTTTTTCTTCAAATGTGCTTAAGGATCAGGCCCTGACAGGAGTATGGTCCCCTGCTGAAGAGACCTTATTATGCACTGTAAGTGCTCACAAATGAATTGATTTTTTTTGGTTGTTGTTTAAATCCTGCCCTCTCCCCTTCAGACATGTAGCACACAGATTGTTCATCTACAAGAGCAATGTGAAGGTAACACCATCTGTCAGGTTACTTTTGATATTAACTTTGTTATATTTAGTATTTCATTGCTTGCGTATACTTTACTGTGGGAATTTTTGTCTTCTGTAATATAAAACCCTCAAGCTTGACATAAAGCCTGAGAAACAAATATCTTGGCCAGCTCTGTCATTTTGACCCCGTTTTAGCCTGTGAATCATCCATCCCTTGGCTCTTTCCTCCATCCGTCTATCCAGGCTATGTCTCTTTTTTTGCCTCTTGTTTGGGATAGGTTGGTTTGCTCTAGTAAGACTTTAATACCCAAGTTAGTATGCTGGCAGCAGTTCAGCAGTTGTAGCATGAAACTTCTGTGTAGGGTAAGAGCTTTTGCAGTGTTGAGTGTAGAGAAGCTGGGGGGTGTGAACTGAACAGAGACTTGGACAGGCAGCAAACATTACAGAATGTTTCTGCAAAGATGTTTAGTTTGCATAGATAATGTTGATTAGGCATGTGAAGATATAGTCCTTGATTGAGGTATCCATGCCAGCAGAGACTTCTGCGTACGTGGATTTATAACAGAACAACTGCACTTGTATTGTAGTTTGTTTGGATCATAAGTGACATTTTTAATATGCTTGTATGTAAGAACATGTTTGCTGACATAGCATATCTGTATCAAAGGTAGGTTTCTAGTACAGTATCCTACTTGAGGTGTGATCTGTGAAAGTGTGCATGTGAATTCTGTGCAGAATACAGTGTACATTTCAACAACTAATTTCTGCAAGTGGGAAATGTCAGCAAAAGTTAAAACATTATTTGCAGAATACTGTTAACAAAATGAAACAGCAGATTTCCCCCCCCCCCCCAAAAAAAAAAAAAAAAAGTAGTAGTAGTATAAATAACCAGTATATTGGAAGTATTTCCTGCTTGGCTATAAAAATTCCTAGCTGTATTGGAACAGAGGATTGTTTGGATTATAACCGCAAGAAAGTTCATTACTTGCATGTGTAGGGAATACACCGAAGAAGTATTGGCCTACTGAAATACTTAAATTCCACCTGCCTCTGGCTCTTGACTCCACGGACATTAATTACCCATACAAAACCAAATTAACATTTTACATTTAAATATTTTATCCATCTTAAAACTTGTGTAAAATAATTGATTCATCTTTATAATACACAAAGGTCTGTAAAGGTGGTAGTTTATATTCAGTGGAATTAATTAGTCCAGTTATGAGACAGTGTCTGACTGGATGGTTCTGTTGTGGAAATTAAGATTTCATGTTTCTAAACTGCTATTATTTTATTCCAGGCTGGGGTGGCTCTGGTTTCAAATAATCATCATGGTAATAAATTTTGCTTGGCTGACCTTTTTCCTTAGTAGACTAAAGTTCACTTCATTTTGTTGATCACTAACACAAACAGATTTCTTCTAAAGTTTTAACTAAAAATCTTTTTTCTAACTGTTCAAGCACACAGGAGTTAAACTTGTCATGCAAGATAGATTTTTGACTGGGCATGTTTTGTACTTCAGTTACAGTTAACACTTGAAATATTCTGGGAGCTTGAATTTGTGCAGTAAATGAATAGGAGATTTGTTTGTGCATCCCATAATTTAAATTGGGAGCCCTGGCACTTGTGTAGATGTATTTGTTGCACATAAGGAACGAATTTGTTATTTTGCAATGAAAGCATGTCATTGGAGAACTGACCTGATGGAAATAATGACTGACTGCATTCCTAGAATTACCCTAAGCAGAACTGTTGGCCTTCAGAAGACCCCTGGTGTACAGCCCTGCCAGCAGGGGCTTTGGTTAGTCTGTGGCACATCTGTTGGCACCATTTCCCTGTAGGTATACTTCTTATTGTTCTTTTTACTGAAACAGTAGCGTATTCTTATTAGAACAGTTTTATTAATGAATTTCATCTAATGCTGTGCCTAACGAGTTAAACTTCACAGTTTTAATATTTTCTTAAAAACTTAGTTGCGAGTGAATAAGCACCTATTAGTTAAGAGTCGCTTAAATGGTCTCTTTTTCATAGGCTTATGAAAACATGTTACTTCAGCACTGTGGCAGATGTCAGATTTAAAAATACCTTGGGTATTTTTAAATATAAACATGTAGCTGCTGGTTTTAATCTAACAGTTAAAGCTATAATTTAAATAAATTGGGAAAATATTAAAAAGGTATACAGAAGTGGTTTTTATGTACTGCAATATTTTGCTTATACTAATTATCTTTTGCTGTTGTCTTCTTGTTTATAAGACTAAGTTATTGTAACAAGTACAGTTAATGAGAACTTCCTTGAATTTATTACTAACTTGGTTGTTACTGTTTTATTTGGATATGTGGTATTTTCCTTGGCAACTAGTCTTGGGGCAATCATTGTTAGTTTTTCTTCCTGATGACTGTTGTGTCTCCTTCCCTTGATGTGTGTTATTTAGGTCCTGTCAGAGTCAGTCTGAATAGAGGTATGAGGTTTTTAACTGTCCCTGCCAGCGGAGACTGTTACACTTCATTTAACTCTCCCCTGTTTTGGTGTCTTCTGCTTAAGTGTTTAAATTAACAGGCATGTATGTGAAGCACACAGCAAAAAACATCAGAATTGACCGTTTGGGGGTGCTGGTGAGTGCCATGAGGTATAAACTTTACTGCTACCTTTAAGACTCTCTAAGTGTTAATAATGTAGGTGATTACCACAGGACCGGATGTTCCATAGCAGTTCAGGACTGTGAAACTCTTTGAGTTGCAAAAAACCCAGGCAACCCACCCATGAAAAATCAAGGCAAAAAAACTTGATAGTTTGATAAGCCAGAAGAGAAACTGTGGTTTATGCTGGCAGGTTTTGTCTGATAAAAAGTACTGTTTCAAGTATTACTTTGCTATACAAAAAAAAAAAATCAAAATAAATTCACACTCCTTGTTTTTATACGAACTTACTGTGTTAATACATTACTCAAATTGTTGAGATAGTATACTAGTATATCTCATTCTTGAAACTCTTAGAACAGTAGGCACATAACTACAGCAGTTAAATGATGCTTTAGTCTCAGTTGTGAAAGCCTGTCTTTTGTGGGTTTCTCAAACTGTAGCAAGGATGTTATTTTTGTGGTTTTAATGTGAGTGGCTTTCCTTATGTCTGAAACAATTGCATGTTTTGCTGTTATAAGATTTTCCATAAAACTTGCATACATGCATGTAACACCTTATTCATATAATGCTTAGCAGTTAAAAATATTAAACTGATAATATAAATAAAATACCTTTCTTATATCCTTGGATTGCATTTCATAATCTTGTTGGATCAGGCTTCGCATGGCAACATCTGTATCATACTCATAAAACTGGAGTGATTCTTGCTGTATAGATGGTGCTGTATTTACCAAAGGTACAAACACAAACAAAAAAAAAATAGTCTGCAAAGTCTTCATTGTTGCACGGAACAATGTATCTGGCTTTCACTGAGCTGGTGAAGATCTGCTGGTGTGTTGAGTATGGAGAATACTTTCTTTGTGACTGGAAATGAAAATGCAATCCGTCAAAACAATATTTAAAGCCTAGAGAACTAGTTGGCAGGGGTTTCTAACGCATAAGGAACATGGAACAACTTTTAACTCTTGATATCCTTTAATTAGATTCTAACATTTTAAGAACTATTCTTAACATGAAAGGAAAGTGGGAAATAATAAACAGCATTCTTCAACTAGTAAGGGAAATATTATCTTAATTGCATCTGCTTGTTTCCTAGTGTCTTATTTTTGTTAATAGCAGGAGGATTTTGTAAAGCATTTTATTAAACATTTGGCAGGTATGTAGCTCAACTAATTAAAATGAGAGGTTCAAATGCATTTTTCTCACTTTTTAAAATAATGACTTTCAAACCTGAATGTTCTATAACAATAATCTCTTATTGTCCTTGTCTTTACATTTGAAAGTAAACAAGAGAAGATAACACTCCCTCAATATGTTACAGGTTGTACACTTCTCAGGCAGGGGAGGAGGCTACAAACATAATCTTTTAAAACATTTTAAATACACATGCAGTGCTTTTTAAAAAAGTCTTTACATAGCCCTTTTTCCTTGTTTACTGTAATTAAGTGTTTTATTTAAGCTTTAGGTTAATATACTTTTATGAAAAAAGTCCACTTACCGTTTTAGCAGATTCAAAACTCTTCTGAATAAAACCAGATATCCTTATCTATAGATTAAGCTGAAGTGGATTGGTAGAAGTGTAAAGTTATGAATTACATCCAAATTGTTGAAATGAATACTCTCTCCAAGTGTGACAGTCTTAAAAGTGCTTTCTATGGGGTAAAAAATGCTTTGCCAGCATTCTTTCCCTAGGGTAAGAGGTAATATCCTGGAGACAGGGGGGTTGTACTTTGAATAACATTTGTAAATGTTAAGTCTGTCTGGCTCATCCTACTTTTGATATTACTTGTTAAAATGGTAGCCTTCTGCTTTGTGGTGATTTACTCTGTATAATTGCGAAGGCTTTTTCTGTAAATCAGATATTAATTGTGCAAAGTAGAGGTCTATAACAAGGCATGTGTTATCCATTTTGTTTAATGGTTTAGCTAAGAGACAAAGCAGCTGCTTTCTGACTGAGACAGTCATAGAGCCAAGACATACGTATACCCTACTAGTCACATTTTATGAGTAATAAAATGTTTCGCTAGGAGTTGTATATATTTAGGGAAGTTTCACCTAAGTATGAAATGGAAAATTTTCAGTCTGAAGATTTCTGGAAGCAAAAAATACTTTTTAGAATTGTGTGTTGAGGTTTTCAGACAATTAAGTCTAAATGCTTCATTGAATGACTTATTGGCCAATTTATTGAAAAATTGGTTTCACAATAAATACTTGTTTTGAGTGAAGTTCTGTCAGTACTGTAGATAACTTAGTAAACACTGTCCAGGTGTAGAATTTTCATCTGAACTATAAGCAGCAGTTTTCTGGATTTCTAATGCATTTTTTTCCTCCCCCTTTTCCTTATTACGTGTTTCTGGCAGCCAGTACAAATGGGAGCCAGATGATGAACTTGAAGTTTACAAAGTAGCTTTTTTGAGTCTTTAAAAAGTATGTAGCAATAAAATCTATTGGGAATATATTCAGATTTACATTTCTCATTTTCATACTTTATTTTTTTCCAAGATAGCACTGTCAGCTAGAGTAATGTTGGGGATAAACAGTGGACCTATTTGGTTAAGTTTTTAGTAATTGCTGCCTTGTTTAGAAACCAGATGTCTGTAGTAAATCTGCAAATTGCGAAGTGGTTTACAGCCTTTTGCTTCTCAACTTTTTTCCACTTTATAATCAGTTACCACTTTCTGAACTCATTAGGATTTTATGAAAATGTTTTTAGTTCATATGCAAATTAAACAATATCATAGCTTGGACTTGGAGCTGGCTCTAGGATAACAATTTTGCTGTTAAGTATATAACTGAAATGTAAAGGAAAGAGGCTCATCAGTAATGGAAATTGGAGGCTGAATCACATGCTGTTCTTCTGGAACAATAAGAACAACATAAGTTTTGAAGTGGCTAGGTTGTTATGGTGTTTTGTGCTGCAACACATAGGAAATTCCAGTTGGAAGTACTTTGTGGTAGAAGTTTTGCTGAGGAAGAGACAAAAAAGTTGCAGTGTCAATACCAACTTACCACCCCTCCTGGTTTCATGCATGTTTCAGAAGTAATGCCAACAGCTCTGCTTTGTATCCAGGTGAAGATTTCATCTGGCTCTGGGGCATCCAGTTTTTTCCAATGCTTGGACATAATCAAAGGATAAATGTTCTAAGGGAAATGTATTAAGTATTGAAACAGAAATCATAATATAAAATATTTGTTATATTATGAGAATTTATTTTGTAAATACTGAAATCCTAGATTTCACAGCTATGTACATGGAATATCTTGGGAATAGCTTAGGTTTTTTCTTATATATGACAAACTTTAAAAATGGGGGAAAATGACTAGATAAATGAGGCCTTGAAAGTTTAGGAAGTCTTCATTCAAGAAAGCTCTTGCTTGAATCTGCAGGAGGTGAAGAGGCTCTGTAATGTTAGAAGACTTTAGTAGCAGCTTCTTAAGAAAACATTGTCACAAGTCCATGTTCATCAGGGTCCCAAGATTTCAGTGGTGTGCTTACCACAAAACCACTGTGTGATGTGTGTACTCATCGTTGTTACCCAAGCACCTACAAGAAACTCATGAACACCTATTTACACATACATGTGAAGAGTCATATGTTAAGTAATTACTTTGGCATGATGTCATCAAGGTTTACCTTACAGTGTAGTTCTACTCTCACTTTAAACTGTCAGTGCCAAATAAAGTAGTCTTGTCCCATATTTCATCTGCTTGTCGTCCCTTGTGCGAGGAAAAAATATCAATAAATAATTTCAGGTAAAAATGGTTTTTATCTGAACATGCTTTTATCAGCACAAGGAAGGGGATGGTACAAGTGGCTGCAAGCAGGTAAGGGATAGCATTGCTTGTTTCAGCAACAGCGCTGCTTTATTCTTGCTCAAAACAACTTGAAATAACTGCAGTGTCCTAATCACCTGAAATGAAGAATGTGGTTCATATGCCTTGGCAATAGGGAAGCTGACAGGAAGTGTTCACCCTGGCAAGCAGAGAGGGCTTTCTAGGCATTGTTAGTTCTTACAAGTTTGATGTATAGCTCTCTGTTGCTTGGATTCCAGTTTCAAGGATCTATGTACTTAGAAGGTAGTTTAATTTCTGAAAACCTAAAGAAGCTCTGTTAACTAATTGAGCTCCAGTTTTTGAAGAGGGCTTTGATAACGTGTGTGAAATGCTTTCTGATTTCAGTTGTGCCATTTTTTTTTTCTCTTGATATCTCATTTGTGTTGACTGATTTCCCTTCTTCCACCTGAAACGTTAGACATGTAAAATGGATATTTTATAAATTGTGTTGAAATGGAATCCTGGTTTAAATTGGAATGGTAGTAATTTCCCTACAATTTTGTAAGGGTATGAAATGTAGCTGAAGGTGTAAATGAAGTAGCTACTTATTTACTTCTAGTAGAGGGAAGCCAAGTCAGCCTAACAAGGGCCACTTGCCCTTTGGAGTCTGCTTTCAGAAAAACTGAACTTTAGGGGAAAGGGATTGCATATAGAATAGGTGTAAAATTTGTTCCCCAATGTTCCCTTCTATCAGGTTAGACAGTGAAAAATAAAAGACTTTTAAGAGAGAAAAAGAGAGAAGTTGAATGGGTATGGATGCAGAGGTAAGAAATATTGGGGAGATCAAGACAAACACTAAGGTAACTATCCACCTTATATGTGTTGCAGATTAAATCTTCTTCAGCATCTGGGACGGGATGTAGTTATTAGTACTGTTGATATGCCAGGAGCAGGTAAAGCAAAAAATCAAGCTGAAAATATCCTAGGAGAGGAGAGATTTTGGTTTGCAGGCAGACGAGCAGGTTTTGTGAATTATTTGAACTGGCTGATGTCCAGCTCAGTCTGTTTATCTTGTGATTGAAGTAGCCTCATGTATTCTGCCCTGCTCAGAACTTTAGTATGACTACTTCGTTTCTGTTCTCGCCTTTCTACCAACACTTCAAAAGGCAGATCAAAAAAGAAACGAAAATTTTTCTTAAAACTAACTGCACAGGTGTATATTGCAAGAGCTGCCATGAGCAGTTCTTATCTGTTGTTTGTTGCCAAATAAAATGACACCAATTTAAATGGGAGGGCAGTTCTCTATTTTCTGTGGATTTCATTAAAAAGTTCTCATAGGTGCTAGCATGTTAATTACCTTTTTACCACGTTGATGTTCAGCACTTTTTACTTAATCCTCAGTAGTTTAATACAAAAAAATAGGAGAGAGCTTTTCTGTACTACTTTTAACATTGCTTTGAAATGCTGTAATGAGTCTTAAAATGTTTGCTGATATTTCTCAGCGTGAAGCACTTAGGTCTTGTTCCTGGTAAACCCCTGCAAAGCACTAACGAACTGATTGACCTAAAAAGAGCCAGATTACCAGAGGGGGTAAACATCCCTCTCTAAGCTTGGCTGGAAAATACTTCTCCAGGGTGCCTGTAGGAATTACATGGAAGCAGGGACTGGCATTGCCTGTATAAAGACTTGTGATTTTGTGATGGGAGGCAGAACACTAGGAAGAAGAAGGAAGAAGAAAAATGAAAAAACTAAAAATACACTAGGGAGAGTGCTGTAAGGTTGCTATCAAGATATTCCTTATGAAATAAACCAAAGCTGAGATTAAAAAAAAATTTAAACACTCCCTTTTGTTTTATATTTAGGCAAAGTGTATTTTTGCAGCTGCTTAAAGACCTTGGCTTTCATCTTGTGTCATAGTCTCTAAAGGACAATACTGGCAAGTTCTGTAGTTTCTGGGTTTTATTGTTTTTAAATGTTCTTGGAAGAAAGAATTACAGATTATTGCTTAGTTTACTTATGCCTGATGAAAATTTCGAGTCACACAGAACGTTCAAAAGTTAGTGTTTTATCTTGGGTAGAAATATGTCTGTGACAGAACGAGATCGGGGCAAATTAGGAAAGCTTTTAAAGATTTCTGGGCGTTTATAGACCTAGGCACAATGCTGCATTTTCTCTTTATATGTGATTTTTTTTCTTTTTTGCTCCATGTGGAAGTTAACATGTTCAGTATTCCTTAGCATATCTTTTGTATGAAGTATGATTAAACACTTTACAGTGTTGACCAGCTGCTCTGGATTGGAATAATTATAGTACAAAAGGTTTTATAGAGTAGAAGATGGTTATTGAATCAGCCTGATAACATATAAAAAATGTACTGTAAGTAGTGAAATAAAGAGAACAAAGGCATCAAGTGATGTTAAAACTGAACTCAATGTTTGTCTCTATTCTTTTTTAAACTAAAATAAGAAAGCATTCTGGATTGCTCTCTACATCATTTTCTGTTTCTAAAATGCAGGCCTTTTCTGCTTGAGTGTTTGTGCAGCCTGATTAAGTTTGCCTTCTAAAATTACTTTTGTCTCTTTGGTAAAGCTGCATGTTTTGACTGCTGCATGTATATGTGCTATGGAACTTCTCTGTGACTCCTGTGTCCCCCACTGCTTTTTGTTGAGATACTGATACAGGAATGTAGAAATAGTTTAAGGCAGTTTAATGTCTGTGCTTATACTGGGGCTGAGTTCATTCTGGGAATAAAAAAAGCCAGAGTATCCAAAAGGGAGGAAGCAGCCTCCTGGTTGTTCTTGAGTGATGCACAGAAAATGGGCTGAAGGTAATATTATACAAGAGTTGTATAATATTAAGCAAAGTATATTCCACTTAAGCATCCTTGAGGGATAG